GGAGGTGTTCCGGGCATGTCCCACTGGGAGGAGGCCCTGGGGAAGACCCAGGACACGCTGGAGGGACTATGTCTCTCAGCTGGCCTGGGAACGCCTCGGCATTCCCCCGGAGGAGCTGGAGGAAGTGTCTGGAGAGAGGGAAGTCTGGGCATCTTTGCTTAGACTGCTGCCCCCGCGACTCGGTCCCGGATAAGCGGAGGAAAATGGATGCTTGTATGAGGTTTATTGATTTCAATTTCTAAGTAAATAAAATTCTTCAGGTTGTTTTAGATGCATGGTGTTTATAATCCCCTCTAGTGTGGTTTCACCCACTCCTGTTTAAAGCATATACAGTACTGAGGTAGCATGACACTGATCTTCTCTCATACTCTCTCTCAGAAATTGGCAACACAGTAAATCATTTAAATAAGAGTTTGCCTTTGACCAAACAATTTTTATGGATGTCATATACTTTACATCAGGAAATATGAACAAATATTGTCCATCAGAGGCAACATGCTTAGTCTAAAACAAGGTTTTTATATGTACTTGTTGAATATTTTATAGTACTTGAAAACATATACACCACACACACAGCAATTAGTTTTCCTGTGCACAATGCTCCTTTCCTTGTGAAATTTAAATGCATGTTGCTCTATTGTTTCATGTCAGTTTCATCTTAATTCTACATGGCATGCATCTGAGCATCTTCATAACACCAGCAGCTATGAAATATAAAATCCAATCTTTTTCAGCTGTTCTTACAGGAAACCATGGCGCAATTACCATTAATTCACGTACTACCCAACGCCATCTGTGCACACACTTGCATGCATGCTCACCTGCACTACATTATGTAGGCAAACAAAATTCAACACACACACACACTTCACATCCTACGCGAGGTGGGTGCTCTCGTTATGGCTGCTGACATGCAGACAGTGAATTGGAATCTCATTTTCAGGCTTGCTGGTTGAAAGAGCTCATAACTCCTGACACAAAAGAGAGGCCAGTTAATGCAGCTCTGGTATAAGGTCCCTGGGTGTACGGATAACATATTGGGGATGTCAAGAAAACTCCAGAGGCCTGTAATGGCCTCACAGCTCAATTTCAAACATAGTTAACCTTGAGGGATATTTATCACTGTGAGG